GTTATATAATATTGATATTCGACGAAATGTCGAATATCATCGTTCGAAATTTCATGGAAATTATCATAAATATGTTATTATAAACACAGTGACATTCAAGCCATAGTTTACCGCAAGCTATTTATCGCGAATGTGAAACCACCTTATAAAATGAATAAAGAAAGAGACACCTTACGAAAAAAATATCTTTATACAGGCAATAAGTAAATTTAAATTTTACATTTAATTTTTTATTTAATTAAAAGTAAATAAAAATTATTAGCTTCTGTATTAACACTATCACAAATCTTTCTACATGACGCAATGATCTACATGATTTAATTTACAGAAAATTATCAAAATGGAGAATATTGAAGCCAATGTAATTTTAATTTTAAAGCTTTGTACATTATTCTATATCTCAATAATATTATATTAATTATAGCAGCGATTTTTATGTCACGATATCTTAAAGACTAGAAAATTTTGTCATTTTCAATAGAATTGTTATCTGCAACTTGCATAAAATCTTGAATGTCTATGTATTATATATTGTACATGTATGCAATGATACATAAATCTTAATATGTGTACTATTATAAGTAACAGAATTTGTAAATAAATTTAATAATAATAAATTGTACATTATTTTGTATCGTTTAGTTTTTTACACTCACCAGTTGGCACACACAAAGGCTTGTTTGAATTTGAATTCATTATTACATTAAAAAACCAATGTAATTTATATGTATAGTTCACGTCAAATTATAATAATGTAACCAAATAGTTACTTATAAAATTGTGTTACTTTAATTACTTAATTTACTTATTTGGTTTATCGTATTGTGCAAATGACACATAAAAATATTAAACCACGTCCAACTCACACGAAGCACAGATTGCAACTACCACGGCGTGACACGCCATATTATTCCACTCGAAACATCGCTAGTATATGATATTAAGCTTGTATTGTATACATAGTTAACCTTGATAAGAATTATTCACTGGCAAGAATTATAAGCACGTGATAAAATCAACGATAAATCATTTAATCTCATAATTATTTTTTAAATTTTTCAGATATATTGTTTGAGAAAAATATCAAATGTTTTCTATAAAAAAAAATAATTTTTATAACAAGACTGGTTTGCATAAACGAGCATAATTTTTCAGTTTTTTTTAGTACGATAGAATTAGTCGTCTTATCAATTATACATTAATGAGTGCTTAAATGTTTTAATAAATATAAAAGTCGCAGGCGTATTTTATTTTCGAAATATTCAACAAATATGAAGAATTGTCTTTTGTCGAATATCAAGTTTTGCTAAGAGTTATTACAGATTAATATTGTTTTATTAATAAAATACAAGTTTTATATTGTTTTACTTTTACAGTGCAATTAATGTAATAATTATAATAATAAATGTGATAGAAATAAGTCACAGCTGTTTTCGGAATCAATAGGAATGTGACATATAAATTCAATGCTGTTTCTTGAGAAAAGATGTATCTGTTTTGCAGATAAATTACTGCCGAGTAAGCCATCTTCTGGGATTTTCAACCGTCAATAGCTCGACTTCCTCCATTGTGAAGTTCCTGTTTCTTAATCGCGGCACAATGTTATTCACAATGTGGGAATATCCATGACCGCCGAAATTTATCTTGAAAATCAATGCAATATTTTCAAATGCTAATCGCTAATACTGTAATCACTTGCATTTTCCAGATAAATTCTGGTCTTAATTTATAAACTATATATTATTTAATCGTAAACATTTAATTGATATAATTAAAAATAAACCCTAAATTTGCTAAATTTTATTTAAATCGTAAAATTGAATGAAAAAATTAAGAAATACGCACCAGTCTGTGCTTGGTGTGAATATCGTGACTCATAAGCACTCGGTGCAGTTTTCCTTCATCTTTCAGTTTTATTATACGTTTTACGCGCTGTGCGTCTGATGCCATATCGACCGATGGATTCAGTTGATAAAAGGAACACTCGCTGCCGAACAGATCAAATTGGATGTAACATTTAGTATCGTCGGCGAATTCCATGAGATGCTGTTTCTTCGTCAGCGTACCTGTTGAATTCGTTCAATCAATTCACTGCAGTAAATTCGGTGCGCAGATTGTAATTAAAAAATTAATAAAGATAAGTTTGTAGATCTTACGATCGATATGGGACATAATAGCTCTGCTAGGATCTCCACCGGCTTCCTGGTAGATCCGCATTATTTCCATGGGCGCAGATGCGTCTCTGCCGGGATGAAAGCTCACGGAACAACGTAATTGCGCCTGCAACTCGCCGGTCGCGCAAATAGCTCGTCTTTCAAAATCTAAAATTTGAAAGAAACTTAGCTTAGACGATATTCGCTCGAGTTTACTCGATTTATAAACGTAGCGCCGCTTCGTTATATTTATGTTTCCAAAATAATTTGCAAAGTGATTGCGTAAAATATTCCGGCAGTTTAATCATTTGTGGACCTTCGATCGGCCAAGTACTGCCGACTTCGCCGATGAATCCCGCTTTCACCTCGGGACACTCCGTGCAACCCTCTTCCAATTCTTTATACATCAAATTGTACATTTCCTCTTTGGTCATGCCGAGTGTCGATGGCTTTTGCGCACTGGCAACATAATAACCTGATTGCAAAAATATATTGCAACGAATTAATAACAGTAATAAAATGAGTAATAATAATTCGTGAGAGCTACATTTATCAATAAAATCTAAAGATACATTTTCTGGTTAACGAAAATAAATGTTACAATAAAAATAAAAATGTATACATTTAAAAATTTTTTTAGTATTCATGACTCTCTTAATGACAAAGCTATAAATTGAAATTCTATTAATTAGTTCACTTAGAATTAACTAAAGGAATTCAGTTATTTTAGTTTATAAAAGCTTATTCTGAACGACGCATATGTACCAGTTCCAGCAATTATGTTAATTCCCGTGCGTTGACTAACGTCCTTCATTAAAGAGATGTCGCGATTCAGACCATGATTGCTATTTTCCACGATGGTTCCGCCACCGGCTTCCTTGAACAATTCCACATCTGCGTGGACAGCTCTCGCTGCATCATCGTCATAAAATTCCAAATTGTATAAATTGCTGTACCTGATTCCAAAATGTTCAATTAGACGTGTATTTATATTGTTAGCAATATTTATTCATTAATTTTATCATCTCGCAGAGTTTAATTAAGGAATAAATGTGCATTACACAGTTTGTAAAGTTGTTTACATCGAGGAATGTTATTTAACGATGATAAAACTCTTAATTTGATCATTAATATTACTCGCATACCGCGCAAATATACGTTTCGCAAAACACACTTTGTATAGAGATGCAAAATAGTAACATCACTTACGGATATTGCTTTACAAATCCAATGTTATGTAAAAACAAACGATCGTCGAGATAACGTTTCAGATGGCTCGGTGGTGGTACGTAAAATTTGCGGAAATCGAGAGCTAAATGCTCATGCGTTAATGTTTTGCCGAGCTCGGACAACAGTTTGTCTCCTAGCACTGTATCGTAAGTTAAAAATAATAAATTATTAAAAATAAATATATGTACGTGATTTCAATTGATTATAATAAGTAAATATACTATTGTCTAAAATTTCGGAAAAATATTAAAAGTATAAAATTTGAATTACACAGATAAAATATTTTATGGAATTGCAAAAATATGGAATTTGTATCAGACGAGCCACATATTTGAGCTGTCGTTTATCTGTGAATCGCAGATTACTTATCGTAAAAATTTACATCAATAAATGTAATAAACAAGATTTCAAGACGGATTAATTTAATTTAAAAGATTTTCAATCGCGGAATTAAATTAGAGATTAAAATTGATGGATTTTGTATTGAGTTTTCCAAAATCTTCTTAGAATATTAACAATAATTAAAAATTGACTTATGATCTATCTTAATCTATTTTTCAATTCTTAATTTTTATATTTAATTATTAATTACAGCAACGTTTCTTTTATCACGAGTCTCGCAAGACAATTATTTGGAAGAAACAAAAATTTGTAAAAAAATTATTATAAAATTTGCGAGTCCCAGTAGCTGCTAAAAATGACACTGCAATAAATACATTTGTTATTTAATGATAATTTTTACCAAAGTATAAATCATTTTGTATTAAACTCTTAAAAATTCATAGGTAAATACAATAAATAAATTCTTTTCACTTACCGGTTTCCACGCTATTCGTGACATTACCAGCCATACTTTCACTATATATTTCTTAAATGATTTTAAGAAAACCCAAATTAAAAATAGACGAAGAGACTACTTTTTATTTACATTTTACATTCACGTCGATTGATTGTATAATCGAATATCGCTTCAAACTTATATAAACTAGATATTATTTGTATCGTAAATTATGGCATGCAAATCACACATCTAATGCTTACGAGTCGCAGCCCGCAACTACGCGACGTGGCGACGCTTGCTATAAATATATGTACACCAGAGTTGGAACCTAACTTGATCTGAGAACAATCATTATCGTGTTGCATTCAAGGCGCCATTCTTAAATGCTGTTCAAATACCTGGTAATATATTACTGGTTTTATAACGTGTGTTTATCAGAAATTTCCTAATGCACACACAACTGACGTTGACAACAGAGATTCGCACCTGTGCGACACGGTAAATATTCGCATGCCTATTTCATTTCTATTCTCTTTGAAAAATGCGAGAAAATTACATTTTAAAGTTAATTAAAAAATTATTTTAAATCATAAATTTTTTATCTCATTTATTGTATGACTTAGAAATTCAGGAGTAAAGTATACAAGAGTAGTAGATATTATTGGCACAGCCAGTAGCAAGTGGAAATTATCGTATAAAATAGCAATCTAAAACGGTAAATGAGATATTAATAGCTTCATTTTCTTGTCATTGCGTGCAACTTTTTATGATCGTCGCATTCCAGTGCTCGTATTCCGTTATCTGTATCGTTGGTACATATTTTATTAATGCTTATCCTCGACAATTTAAAAATATTTGTTTATCGCTCTATTTGCAGCAACCAGACTTTTCGTGTTTCAACGAGGCCTCTCGTCGTAATCGAATTGAATCACGTACGCCACCCTCGATCTTCGAGCACAAAACCTTTTCCACCAAATAGCGCATCGCTGTATCTGCAAATTTCATAATAATGCAATCAGGTCTCAAGCAGTCATTTTCAAATCGCGCAGCGATTTTCGATAGATTAAGTGCAAGAAAATTGGTATACTATTCAAAATCTGACATGGATTCTCGATATTTGCGATACGTATAATATATGAGTAATTATAAATATTACAAAAGAGTGAACCTAGAAAGCTGCACAGTCATCAATTTTTACTTCAAAAAGTAAATTTTAATTTAATTAAAATGCAAACAGGATTTTAAAATACATCGATACTTATTTCCAAGTCATCTAAATCTATTTCTTTGCTTTTTGGGTGATGCAAATAACAATTTATTCAAATAATAAATGTATAAAAAATATGGATTTCCAGAAATCTGAGGCTTTCGACCGTTCACCTACCGACGTTGGTGTTGTTCTTCGCGGAGGTCGCATACCAGACATCGATCTTGTTCTCTTTGCAGAACCTGGTGATCTGCTCGTTGGTCACCGCGACCGAAATGTCGCACTTGTTCGCCAGGAGTACGACCGGTATGCCCGAGCCATCCGGCAGCGTGACCTTCTCCCGGAGGTCGCCTAGCCATTTCTTCATCGACTGAAAGGTCGCCGCGCGTGAGATGTCGAATACGAGTGCCGCGGCGACTCTGCGTTAGCATCGACGAGCAAAAAATCGAACCGATCGATCGATTAGAAAAAAAAAAAAAACAATTAACATTTCCATTGACAATCGACACATTAAGGAATATTTATAACTTTTGTTTCGACAAAGCGTGCCGTTAAAACTGCAGCAAAATATACACATTAACGATAAGAAATGTGTTGGAGACAACAAACTGATAAAAGTCATATTTACGCGTATTTATAGTAGACCCTCGTCATGTATCCGAATCTCTCGTGGCCGGCGATGTCCCTGAAATTCAGAATGAAATTATCTCCCCTCCTCGTCGTCGCGGGAGATTGAGAAAAAATTTCGGAAAAAACTTTTTTCAGGACGAAAGAATAATACATAAATTGTGCGTCGACAGTACCATAGTTGCAAGTTTATTTTAGTGTGCGGATCCCAATCGAGCGTTTTTATCGCAAAATCGGCGCCTATGGTAATCTTGTAATTCGAGGAGAACTTCCCTGGAAAAGACAGTTATGCGATATTGTGTGCGGTGTGACGCCGACGACGGATCAGCATCGCAAGCTGCAGCTGTACACGTGTTTCTAAAGCGGATCAGCCGACTCTTCTTTCCTTTCTCTTTCTTTGATATACGCGTCATTCTCTCGCGATATCCCACACGATATCCTCTCGCAAAACGCGATCATCTTGTAGACAATTCGCTATTTATTTACTTTTCTCACTTTCTCTAATTGTAGTTTATGTAAATACGCGTATTTCATAATCTGAATTTTGTTTCCGATATCAATAAGGGACTTCTTGCGAAACGATTACGATTGAAAGCGAACAAAGAGAAGAACGAGAAATTGCAGTCATTTTCTCACCTTCCGTGTATCGTCTGACCAGCGCAGTTTTACCTAAAATAAACAGTTTTGTCAAAAAGAGAGAAAATTTATGAATTATAAATTTTGCCGAACTCTTTGAAATTCTCTTCTGTGAACAGAAATTTTACGTTCTCTAAATATATCTAGAATACGTAAGATCTTTTGCAAAATCTCATGTTTTTTTAATCTTTTATTATACGAACTTTTAAAATGTATAAAAATGATAAGAACCGTCAGAAATTATAAACAAATTTTATAAAATTTGCAAGTTAATCCGTCATCGAAGGTTTAGGATTAGTAATTATAAGTAATATAATAATAATCTTTAAAACTTCTTAAAAGAAACTCATCCATAAATTCTGCAAATTAACGTATCCGAATTATTATAAACGTTGTTTTGTAAACATGTTCACAAAATTAGCATTCAACAAGTCGTTCAAACCAAAATGAGTAGAGACGATAGAGTACAAGATTATCGGATATTTTCTATCTTATCAATCAACGAGAAATGATTTTTCCGTTCCGATAATCGCGGCCGCGTTCAAAGGCGCGAGTGATTACTTAGCCATCGCAAATTAACCGCCGCGACTCACCGACACCGTAATCGCCGATGACGAGGAACTTGAAGAGGTGCTCCTTGTGATTGAAATTCGACAGGATGATGTCCGAGTCCCGTCTGTACCTGCGCGAGCCCGCACTCGTCGACGTACGATCCGCGCGTCGCATCGCTTTGCGATCGTTTCACAATGTGCTTTGCGAACTATCGAGCGTCTCGTCGGCAATAATGATAAACAGAAGACGCGGGTCGACGTCCACCGTCTTGCTCCCCTCTCGGTCTGTTGTGTCCGCATTTTCGTATTGACGATCGGACGTCTCTCGGCCGTTATCTCGCTTGGTGCGCATCGCCGCGCGCTCAGCGTGCAGCCTCCGATTTTTTTCATGCAGCGTATCTTCACAGCTGTGCCTCGAATTATGTAATTTCTTCTGCTATTGTGGCGATGACTTGTCGCTGAGTCAGCAAACAAGTCTCAGCTCATGTCTATTAATCGGAGAAAGAAGGGAGAAGCGTGAATACACAACACGCGACACAAGTATGTTTTGTCGGCGTGGCGGGGACAAGGTGTGTGTTAGACACTAAAAGCAGCGAGCCCGGTTTCGTAAAAAGTGGAGGCCTTTATTTTGCGCATACACCTCTTCGTAACGAGTTAACACGGCAGCGATTGTTGACCTCGATTGAACTTCCTTGGTTTCTATATCGCAGAGGCTGAATAAAGACAAGCAAACATCACATATATATATATACGCGTACTCGTTTTCTAAAATCTTTGGAGGATAGCTGCGATTCCACTTCCGCTCGTTTGGAAAATCAAATAATAGAGAAATAAAGAGAAAGGGGGAGGGAGAGAGAGAGCGCGCAGTTGTAGAATGCCAGATGTGAAAAAAAAAAAATGAAACAAATGAATTTTTTTTCCTCTCCAGATGATTATGGAGCAGAGAGGAGAGAAACGCGAAGAGATTAATAAATAAATAAATAAATCGAAGGAGAAAGAAGCAAAGGAGCGGAGAAGATTAGTAGGACACGCGCGGCTTGCATCATACACGACGCATATCTCTCAGTCGGAAATTCGTCTATTTTTTTCTTTTCTCTCTTCCGTTACGTGTCTTTTCCGTTTAATTACGTGTACAATATAAAATGTTACAGTCACGCGCGGTACATACATGTATACACGTACATGCACACGTATATGCTTACTCTGCCAGAAACGACGAGCGGCGATCTCCGCTCCGGATAATTCGATACGCGAGATCGGCAACGGTATTGTACACTTAATATCGACGCAAAGACGCTGTGAATGCTTGTGTGAGCTTCCAGTAATTTAGAGTAAATCCGACAAGTGTTTCTTGGATGTGTGTGTGTGTGTGTGTGTGTGTGTGTGTGTGTGTGTGTGTGTATATATATATATATATAGACATCTCTGCGAGGTGGGCTGTGCTAAATTTTGGGAATCAAGTCGAGATCGGGGCCGAGTATAATCGCGTACGATTACCATATCACCGAAATCGTGAAACGCCTCGGGCTCGTACGATCGATCGAGAGATCGACTTCACGACGGGAATTGCACGATCGTCCGATCGGCCGCTTCGATGCCGAGCCGGCCGGAAAATATCTCCACAATCCACTAAATCAACAATGATAATCATACGAATAATAATAATAGTAATCATAGCGCTAATAGTAGTAGCAATTGATAGCGGTAGATACAATAATAATAATTTACATTTACACAAGACTCTTCCTCTTTACGCGAACGATTAATTAATTACACTACCTAACTATGTACGACATGCTTAAACGTTTAACGTTCGTTCAACCTTTCACGACGCTTTGTAGTCTCCACTCAATCGTGAGTCTCCGACGCCTCATCCGCGAATGAGAACCAAACCCTTTCTCCTTTTTTTTTTTCCTTTTCTTTTCTTCCACCTTGTTCCTCTTATTTCTAAGCCTTGCTTAAAAGTTTCGTTAAAGGGTTTTAGCCCGCGCGGCGAAATAAGACATGAGAGAGGCACAATTGTAGAACGCACGAAGAAATATAAAAGATGATCGAGCAATCGTAAAAAAATATACAGAGAGGCAAACGCGTAATGTACAAGTCGATGGAGGATCACGACACGCGCAATGTCTTCTATTGTCAAGAGCACCGCACTCGTGCATTCAGGAGGGGGGGGGGGGAGGCTTCGGGGGTCGTGCCAGATGGAAAGAAAATTCCAGAACGCAGAATGAAACCGAAAAATTGTCACGTGAAACAGTTCGCGAAAATATCGACGGTTATTGAATTTTTCAATCAGAAATTACTTTACCGATTCCGCGAGTGCCGGGCAGGTTTTTAGAACAAAGGAACGATTCAAGGGGCCAATAATGATAATGACGCGCCTGCAATGCCGCTTCATTCTTTTTCACGGAAACCTCGCACATCGCTTTCATAAACTATCGTCGCTGTCATCGGCGTGCGGCTCAACGGAGACGTTCCCGGCGAGTGGTGCGGCGCTTCCTTCTCTACTTGTTTCGATGTCCTGTTCCATTGTATTATTTTGTGCTTGTTGTTCGTCTACAAAGGTGCAGATAACTTTCGATGAGTGTCGACGCAAACTTTTGGATCGTGCAGATCACTTTATTATTATAATTATTATATTTATATTAATAATAATTATATTAAAAATAGAATTCGTACTTGCGACGAGCTCTTTCTCAGTCACTTGAACACGAAATAAACATTTTCGTGTGAATTGTCTAAAGCTTGGGAAAGATTTCACAAGATTAAAATACTATATCTATAAATACCTGATTGCGTCGGCGGAGAATCGTCGTCTCCTTGACCCGGACTCAAGATAGCTTCCTTAATTTGACTATTAACGCCCTTCGGATCTAGATCGGTTGCCCAACTAAAGTACATTAACGCGAGATGGGTATTGCCTAATTTTTTGTGTACCTGTTCGAAAAGATTCCATATGAGAAAAGTCAGAAATTAGGAACTCAGTTGTTCGATGAATCGATCTTCTTACCTTTCCTATCGAATAATAGACTAGAGATTCTTTGGGTACAATATTCTTCAACTCCTCGAACTCTCTGAGAGCTTCCGTGTGTCGACCGATGGAGAAATTAATGCTCGCGCGGTGGAACTTGCACAAAGTATTATCCGGATCGTTAATTAGCGCGGTGTTCAAAGTCTTCAACGCCTGGTCGGTCTTCTTCAAGGCGTGCTGCACGACGCCTATGTGGCACATTATCGCAGAATTCTGCGGGTTTATTTGCAGGGCACGTTTGAAATGTAATTCCGCTAAGCTGTATTGTTCCTGTTTCGAAAATATCGTTCCCAATCCGAACCTTTGCGGAAAAATATTTCACATATAAAATTAGAGTGCGATCGAATGATAATGAACATCAAACAACACTGCGTCTTCTCTTTACGAGAACTTACCACGCATTGTAATGTCTAGAATCAAGTCTGATGGCATTGCGGAAAGCAGTAATCGCTTTATCCAACTCTTCAGTCAGGACGTATTCGTGTCCTAGTAACGTATAGGCATACGGGAAATTAGGATCCACCTAAAAATATATCAGAAAGTCATGTTACTTTTGAGTAAACATATGCGCCGTTTGGTATTTCGGTGTATCATAGATAAACGTATACCTGAATAGCTCTTTGGAAAAACTTGATTGCAGTCTCGTGTTCCGTTTGCGCCGAGAAAAGATTGCCCGTGGCGCACCACGCCGCGGCGGAATTACGATCATGGGAAACTAGATCTTGAGCGAGCGTGGACAACTGTACTTCGGAATGCAGATGCCACAGAACGGTGCTGTAAATCTCCATCAGATCCGTTCTCTGCGGCTCCAGCTGCCGCACTTCGGCGAAATAACTGTGTACAAAAGATAGTAAATCAAATTGAAGGGAGAAAATTAAAGAGAAATACAATCTCTCATTAACACGTTATGTGTGCGAGAAACGGGAAACTACGCCAACGCAGCATTTCACGCATTTGTTTTAGCCCGCATATAATGTGTTAAAAAAACAAAAAAGTATAAAATATTACACTTTGTTCTAAAGCCTGAGCACACGCATGCTCGATTCACTATAAAATGCTAAAACAAACATCTAATGTTCTTCTAATTATAATGAATTTATCACCTTGCAGCCTTTTTGTAATCCATCATTTCGAAATGCGCACGAGCTAGCATAGAAAGCACCCAACCAGTGTTGTAGTGTTGCGTCGGCAGTATGCTTAGTATTTCGACCGCCAGCGAACACTTGAACTGGCTCAAGTGTTGATATGCGGTGCCTAATTCTCGCAGCAAAGACATCAGTCCCTCTGAAAAATCACGGGCAAAAATATATTTCCCAATTATCTTGAGAAAAAAAGGAAGACGTGAATTGATTAAACAATTAACGTACCTGCTGACTGCTTTTGTAATGTTATCCCAGAGTGCATATTATTGTTCTGAGTGTTGAGTGCGTTCGCATTAGCTACAGCTTTCTCCGACGTCACCGTTTCACTCTTTTCCTTTTCACTCCTATTCCTCTCGTTCAGCTCATTGAAATTAGTTTTGTTCAAATTTGCCTTGGCGAGTCTCGCTTTTGTCTTCCTAGACGGAGACTTCGGGGTGGCGAATTTGTTCCTATTAGGTGACTTATTATTTTCCTGAAATATACCCAAGTTTTGTCAGATTACGAGCAAACGGCGAAACGAATGCAATTAGACGCGTCAAAACTAAAAGAAAAAAACTCAAGATTAAAAAAAAATCGCACCTTTACTGAATTGTGGCTGAAGAGCCGCGACGAACGTCTGACATTTGTGCCCTGAAATGTCGGCGACGGAGGCGAAGTCGGATTGGCGGCTGTCACTGTCACAATGTAGGCAGTGTTGCTAGCATTGCCCGACTGGGAAAATACAGATTTGCCCTGCTGCAGCGGCGTCTCTTTTCTCGACATCAATTGCTAAAAAAAAAAAAAGGTCAAACATGAGAACATCGAGTCACTATATGCGTTATAAAGTAAAAAAAAAAGAATGCACTCACCCCTACATGAGCTCTTAGATTACTAACGCGTTTCGCCAGGCTCTTCTGATCGTTCGCTTCTGTGAGAGTCGCGTGCGAGGGCGGGGCAGTTGGCTCAGGCGTGTTGCTCTCGAGCGGCAAGATACCGAAGCTAGGCGTAAGCGGGCTCATGGAGTTGCTGAACATGCTGCGGTAACGCGACATGTGTTTGGCCCTCGGCGATATCGAGGAACAGTTGCTATGAACCGACGCGTTTTGCGGGGTGTCTTCTATAGCGGAACACAATCGCACTTGCGGTACCTGGCCGCCGTTTATCAACGTCGGCGCTGTCGTCGTTTGCACGGGCGTGCTGCAAACACAAGTTGGAATGGTCGGCAAAATAAAATAAAGCGGAACACTTAACCATTATTTTCTGCAGATGTATGCACATACGTGTTAGTGCCATTTGACATTGGTGTACTATTGGCGTTATTCCCAGGTACAATGAAATCCGGCTCGGCGATATAGTTGAGCGTAGACGTGGTACCATGGCACATGGCGAACGAATCTAGTTTGTCTAGTTGAAAAACCTTGGCGGGGTCCACCTTCTCGCCAACGTTGCAAAGCTCCTCGAACGAATGCCAGAGGAAGGGATTCAGTTTTAAGGCCAGCTTGTGCGCCTCGTTGCCTCTTGCGGTACGCATCATTTTGTAATAAATCTTCGCTATTATCTGCAGGGAAAAGCATGCCTGTTCCCCAAACTGAGCTATTATTTCTTCCAGATTCTTTAACTGCTTGTAATATCCGCCGATTATCGCAGCTTCTGCTTCGGCATATCTGGCAAGTGTTCGATAAAAGATATATTTGCATATGCACATTTGTAGGGGTACAAAAAAATGATATGATATGTTACTTACTTTTCCAGATCGTAACAACATTTTGCTAATAGAAATCTACACTGGGCTGAACTGGGTGCCCTTTGAGCTAATAAAGCATAAGCTTGTCTAATCCGGCCAGAACGATAATAACATGTTGCCAAAAGAAACAAACTTTCCTCTGTGTCCACTGCGCAAGAACAAAATCAATATAAGCATACAATATTTCAAATTCATTTTCATAAGAATATAATAAACCTATAAGTTAAAGAAAAATCTTACCTTCTGCACACAGTCTTTCTGCCAGGAATATAGCATCTGGATAAGCATAATGATTCAAACAATGCCATATGGCTGCCTAAAATTGGAAAATTCAATATTTAGCACCTTGATTAGTTAATTACACAATATTACAATAATTAATGTAACAATAGCGATACAAGTTATTAAGTTAGTGATACAATATAATATTTTAAGAATTAAAGAAACGCATAAATCTTTAACTGTGCATATGTGATTGATAATAACATAAACATAATAAAATATGTTGGTGTTTATTGAAGACTCCAAAATGCATATTTGAGAGCATTTCGTATATTTCAAAGTATCACAGTCTATATATATCACGAGTGTCTGGTATGATTCGCATTACTTTGCTCCTCAAGTTGATAAGATAGAATAAATGTGCACTTTATCGCATCCAATTGTAAATAATACAAATCTCTCCAATTTGCTCAATTTATACATGCATCATATTCAAATTTGCAAATATAATTTACATATATAAAACGATAAGTTATGTTTTAACAATCTGCAAGATCACAGTGGCTACAAATACTTCTGGAAAGTAGCATTTCTCTTTGGTATGCACGCATCTCAATTAATTTTTTACAATCAACTACACTCATTATTAGACTATTAAAATCCGTAAATCTGGTAAAGTTTAGCGCTTATTTATAGCTAAAGACCCCCCACCGCCGTACACGTTTTCTTTGCAATAAAGCAAACAATCCTAAAGATGTACGTTTCGAACGTGAATAGAGACGACAAAAATTAGAGTGGAAAACGTCATTCTCAGGAAGGATCTCGATATAAAGGTGATTGCAAAATCGACCGTTCGACATAATTAGAGACGTCGAGATGTGCTTTGCGAATGCTTTCGATCGGCAAAGACGTCAATAGTATTGAATGCGGATGCGCCTCGGTACACAAATTCGCATGTCACAGCACGATAGCTCCATGGATCGAATACTTTTTCTTACCTGCACTGGCTCCTGCACGATCATCGTTCACACTGCCAGCGTGATCATAAACAGAACGTCGGCCCACCGGGCGCGCTTCGGTGAAATTTAACGATGGAGATGTTCCAAAGTCGCACGACTGCTATGTGTATATATAAAAATTTCTCAGGAGTCCATCTTTGCTTCGATTCTTTTGAAGCGAGCGACTGCTTTCAAGTTGCAAGACTGCCAACATGTGCACCGCAAGGTCGCTAGACTTTACGGCTTACACGCAACGCGGCGACACTCAATTCATCTAATCGTATTGGTCATCGTTGGTGCATGCGCAAATTTGATAAATTCAAATTGTTTAATCATCAACGGCTATCCCGTATCATCCCGCATCGTTCGATTCGTTTCTCTTCGTTGTTTTTGTGTTCAATTTTGTTCAAATGGCTGAATTTAGTACGCCCACGAGTGCAAAGTTGATAAGCAGAATACATAATGCCGAGTTCCGTACTCCTGTAAAAACATCAGCATCTCCGATAGAAATACCGGCCTCTCCTTTTCTAGAAAAAATAGGCTATGGCACCGGTATGTTTATACTTAAAATGTACCATCTTTTTAGATTTATATGTTAGATTGTACGTTCTCTTTCATAACTTTATGATCCAAATTATAAGTAAAGAATATTTAATCAGTCTCCATTGTAATTAATAAGTGTTATCATTTTTATACTGTACACTTGTAATCTTTGTAAATCTGTTCATAGAGTTATTTTTTATTTCTTATATCCTTTTATCAGGAAATGCTGTATACAAATTGGAAAGATCACCCAAAATAGGCTCTGTGCGCTCACCATGGGCAATAAAGAAATTAGTAAAGAAGGATATTTCACACATAAACAATGAGCAAAAAAACAGCCTTCAATTGGAAGCAACTATTTTGCGGCATTTGAATCATCCTAACATAGTTGGTTTTAGAGCATTTACTACGGGAGCAGATGGAAAGCCTTGCTTAGCTATGGAAGCGATAGAAATGTCTCTTGGTATTTAAGAAACTGAACAATTTTAAATACTTTTCAATGTACCAAATTATACTGTAAGAATGATTTGATATCTGCTTTTTATGAAAAGCAATACATAAATTTGGATTATTATTGTGTCTTATATCAGGTGACATGATTGAGAAAAGGCAAGAGACTTTGGAAAATGAGCCATTTCCAGCCAAGGACATTGTACAAGTCGGTTTTGAACTTGCAAAGGGACTGAAGTATTTACATCACACTGTGCGTCTATTGCATGGAGATATAAAGAGTTGGAATGTCTTGGTGTCTCATGATTTCAAAGTGGTCAAATTGTGCGACTTTGGGACTTCTTTGCCATTGACAGAATCTCTAGAACTTGACAGTTCAAAGACTAATTTTTGGTACTGTGGGACAAGATGTTGGAACCCTCCTGAAATTATAAATGGTACATCTTTTACTCGGTTCTATGTATTGCAGCAACTTCTAACATTTCAAAATCATAAAAATATCTAATTTGTGGTTTTCTAAAATTAAGATCACTGCACAAATTTTATTTGAAGACTTATTTTTCAATTTATGATATATATTACTTTGACTTTTCTGTAAATCTTAGTTTCTTAATTTTCTTACAGACGATGGACCAGTGACAAGTGCAGCTGACATTTGGACATACGGTCTTGTTCTATGGGAAATGATATCTCTGACTACGCCGCATGTGGATGAGTTTGATGAAAGTGAATTTTCCGATGAATCAATTACAGATCACAGCAACCTTGACGATTCTACAATTAATATGAATGAAAGTGGTGCCTTTCTCAAAGATATAATGCCATGCGAGAACAAAAAATATGGTAAGTTATAAATAAATTATAGTTTTTCCATAATTTAATACCCATTGACTGTACATGATAATTTTTAATGAATTCAATTTGACTAAATAAAAAAAAAATTGATTTTAGGTACACGACCACCTCTGCCTGATATTGATTTAGGCAAAGAATACGAAAGAGTACTTGAAGTATTTTTCATATGTACCACTGCTGACTATAAATTAAGACCCAGTGCGAAGGTTCTAGTGAACTACTTTGAAAAATTCATAAATAACAAAGAGAAATCGTAAGTTTATATTAGAAAATTTATTCATGTTTGTAACGTTGAAATATCACAATACGCTATTTTTATACGAGACTTCTACGATTTTTGTCTTTATCAGACACTATAGTGTTTAAAATGACACAGCAATAAATAAAAGAAATATTATTATTATCACGCTTAAGATGATACCGATCTTGATTTTCCTCTGTAAAAGTAATTATATAATTACATAGTATGGCATTTACATAATTACAATTACAATAGCATAATAGCATCTTAGAAAGCAAAATCAAGCAACTTAGTATTTTTAATATGTACCTTTCTATATCTGTGACTCTTTTTTTCTCTTTTTTTTAGTTGAACACGCCCGCCGTCGACGTTGTCCGTTGTTTTAGTGGCAAAGTATTCTATATTATTAATTTGTTCCCCCTATGATAACATTTTATCTTTCGTATTTTCTGTTTTTAGTGACATTGTATAATTTATTTACATACAATATTAGAAAATATTTATACTCACTTGTTTGTCGATTAAAAATGCCATTTCCGCGAATATGTCTCTGACTTCTATGAGAGATTTTTCCAACTTCAGGACATCATCGTGTCTACTTTGTATATCTGATAATTGTCGTCTCGCTATTTTGCTGTCTTCTAAAATCTGCAGACAATTTATCACATCAGTTTTACGCATAAAAGAGAATTTGTGTAACAAATACTATAATAATAAATTCAATACTTACATTGTCGACAAACAAGCTGGTTTCTTGAGCATCAAGCATGTCTGATAGCTCCTGACTGGTAACTTCACGCCTTACTGGATTAATAAATGATTTAATTAATAGGGCTAGGTATAAATATATACAGTTGTGCATAATTTATTTCTACTAATAACATTTCTACATATTCTTACGTACATAGTGAACGTTGCTGCTGCAGCAGCAATAAACACTTATCATGATATCTTAATAATGATTCATTGTAATCCTGCATAATCTCAGAAAACAGTTGAAACATGGTTGTATATTGCAAAATCTTAATTCTCGTATATGCAGATCCATCTTGTGTGTCAGCTACAGTCAAGTCTTCAATAGAAGCGATATCCTTTCCTATGTCTAAAAATAATATGTTAATAGAATAAATTGAATAATAAAAAGACTGAACATTATATACAAAACATATTGAAACAAATATTACGTAAATAGATAACAAGCCTGATTAAGTCATTATATTGAAATTCAATCTTCATATACATAATTATTTTTATTGAATAAAAATAATGTAACATTTTAACTCTAAATTTCTATTATTTTTTTAATTGAATCAAATAAATATTTTTTGCCAAGTTATACAAAAACTAATAATTATTACTAAAGAATTATTAGTTTTTAACTTTAATAATCTTATAATAATTATCTTTTGCCAAGTTATTTTTAAATTTATTGCATTATTTCGTGGTTTTTTTTTTATTGAAATTATAATCATATCAATAAAAATTATTGGTATTATATTTCAAAAATATTTTATATAATTGCAATGTTTTAAAAATTTATCAATCAAAAAAATAAGTTTCTTGCGACATATTAATCGACAAGATATATTAATTGCATGTGCATTAGTTAATGAGTGTAACTTATATATATATATATATTATATATAGCATACAAATCGCATATATACTTATGTCGTATAAAGAGGTTGCGACATGATTGGCTCAGTTTCCTGCTTCTACATGGACGCTGTTTGTCTCGCTTATATGGACACAGTAAACGAAATGTTTCACGTTCAATTTCGCGCGAAGATATCGCTCGACCACTTGATACATCGAAGAAACAGGACTGTAAAATCGTTATCGGTGCGCATACAGCGGAAAATGATAACCTGAAACTGAACCCCCTTCGAATCTCTGTCTACACAACTATCGCGGCGATAAGTTAAGGTTATGTTTATATCCGCGAGAGAGCCCGTGCGAAGAGAATGATAGCGACCGTGCTTTGAGCGCAGTTTCGGACCGATCTCCGCGTCATGGAGTCGCTGTTTCGTAACTTTAAGCTAGACAATCTGGACGATGACTGGATCAGGTCGGTCTGGGACGCCGAGTTCATGATGTACGACAAACTGCCTGACGAGTACGCCGAGTACCTGGAGAGCGACGACGCGAGGCTGCTGCTGCACGAGTCGTATCTCGGCCTGAAAGCGTGGATCGCAACGAACGAGCGTAAGCAGGAGGAATCCGAAACGGAATTCTCGTGGCAGACTCTGATGATACAAAACATCAATATACGCGGTTTGCTTGCCACACTGGGTTACATAATGAAGTGCGGTCAGCGCGCTGATACCGACGAGGCCTCCAGGCAGGCGTGTCTTAAGGCTACAAGTTTGTATCTCGTACTGCTCGCTGTGCCTGGCAGCAACGCATTTGGAATTTATCATCCAAACTTGTATCGGAAGGCGATTGAAACGTTGAAACTGTCGGAACACTTCTTTCCCGCCGACGTGAAGAACAACAGAGAGATGGACGCGACAAGTAACAGTAATGACGACGAATTCTCCGAGCCCTGTGTGCTGCCGCACGCCGAAAAGCTGAAGCTTACGCAAGGATTGAACACAATCATCTCTGATCTCATAACAATGTTGAAGTCTTTCCGGTTTAAGGAGCACGCTGAGTCCCTAAACATCACGATACGCATATTATTGGATGTAACAAGATTGAAGATGCACGTTAAGTTTCAGGATAATTATAAAATAACAGCGCTGTCGCAGAGCGCGTTTGCGGCTCTGCGAGAGCTGTGCAACAACAACCACGGAACCGTCAAATGGACGATAATGTTGATTGTGCAGTGCACGATGTCGGATCTGTTTCATAACACAAACGCGCAGCCCAAGTCCATCACCATCTTCCACGAGGCGATAATATATTTTTTGAAGGGTCTGTTGGAGATACACGAGCGGGAGACCACACACGGAATCGTGATTTTGATTCATCAGTTGATGGTGAAATGCCCGGAGAGGCTGGAGGGCCGCCAGAAGCAGGCGGCAGTTTTGATAAAATTGCTGAACATATGCAACGAAACGGTGTTCGCGACCGTTTTCCAGGATTTGATACTGTTTTCGTACAACGGTAAGATATCTTACAGGCTGTTCGCGCAGGAAATCATCGGCAGGCTGCTGACAGAATCGCCGCTGTCGAGCGAGGATTTGAGCGCGGACACGAAAGCGAAGACGAGAAGAGTCTTGCTGGCCGTCGTGTCGTCGCGCTGCATGGATCGCTCGCCGTTGGTGCGTGGGAAAGCCATGACGACGCTCGCTGCGTTCTCCGACTGCGGCAGCGAGGCCGACAAGGGTATCCTGAAGAACATATTTGCAGTTTCAGCCGCGGACAAGAAGTTTCCCGGGCTCAACGAGCTGAAGGACGCGATGCAGGCGGACGCGGATCCGCTGCCGGGCTCGAGCACTCTGATCGCGATGCTGCTGGAGAGAGTGAACGACGAGCGCGCCCTGGTGCGACGAAGCGCTCTCAAGATCCTGAGGAACCTGTCCATCATGTTCCCGTCGCTCGTCAGCAAGACGACGCACGTGATGAGCGATCGTTGCAGGGATCTTACGTTGACCGTGCGCCAGTTCGCGGTGCACGTGTTTTCGGAGCTGCTGGAGCAGTTCCCTCACGACTCCAGCCTTCTCGACGAGTGGATACAAGCCGTCGTGCCGCAGATCTACGACATCGAGGCCAAGGTGCAGGAAAAGGTGCTGGAGTGCCTGCAGAGCGTGGTGCTGAACCGAATAACGAGCGCCTCTTCGTACGTCTCGGACGCGGCCAACAGCCTGCCGTGGCGAGTTCTGAACAAGCTAAGCAGCATGAGAATGAGGAAGCATCTGTCGAAGGCCTGCAGTCTGTGGGTGAAGAACGGCGTGGTCGGCAGCTCTCTGATATCGAGACTGCAGTCGCACATCGGCACGGATAACACCGTGGGCGCGTGGATACTGCTGGCGGCAGTGGCCCAGAATATGAAAATACCGAACATCAGCAAGTACATAGCGGATTACAAGGAGGTCATCCAGAAGAACGATTTTCACGCGAGCCTGGTGCTGGACGTTCTGAGGCACACCTGGTCCGTTCTGGATCGCGGCTGTCTCGAGGATCTCCATCGGCATCTCTACGAGCGCGTCCGCCGTTTCGAGATCAACTTCAATCTGATCAGCGTCTGCCTGGACATCCTGAGTGGCGTGCTGCGGCACCTGCACGGCGAGGAGAGCGGCCGTTTAATAGAGTCGAACATGACGGAGCTGATGAGGCTGTCGGAGGCGGAGATCCGGGACTTGCTGGAGGACGAGGACGGCGCGCAGCACGCGTTCAAGACGCGGGCGATCTTCACGCTTGGCCACGCGTCGCTTCTGTGCACCAGCCGGGTCTCGTCGTCGACTCTGCGCACGCTGGAGCGGCTGCTGCTACAGCGGGACGCGCTGCCGATCACGAGGGAGATGCGCGATCTGCAGGCGGCCGCGGTGATCCTGCTGTGCCAGCAGGCGCTGCGGGACCGCGAGATCGCGCAGGAGGTGACGCCGATATTCGGCAGTCTGATGCGCCGCGAGACGAATCCGGACTCGCCGGCGGAGATCGCCGTGAAGGTGAACGCCGCCAAGGCGCTCGCCGACATCTGCGTGCGGTTCACCGCCCTGGTGGAGCCGTATCTGCCGGACATGTGCGTCAGCATGAAGGACTCGAACCCGGCCGTGAGGGAGGCCATAATTGTGATATTCATCCAGCTGCTGCTGGAGGACTTCATCAAGCTCAAGGGCCCGTTCTTCTTTCACATACTGACGATGCTGTCGGACGCGAACGCCATGATACGCGAGCTGACGATCTTTCTGGTGGAGGAGCGGCTGCTGGCGAAGAACAAGACCCTCATCTCCCAGCAGTTCCTCGAGAGCATCTACCACTACAATAATTATCAGTCGCGGAACGCGTTCTGCGGCCACAGGATGCACGAGCGCGAGAGGATGCTGCTGACGCTGCCCGGGCGGGCGAATCAGGCCAAGCGCAACGTCATCTACGAGTTTATGCTGGAGCACTTGGACGCGCCCGCGAGATTTCAGCTGCTCGTCAAACTGACCAAGTACATACTCCGCGAGATGTGCATCGGCGACTCCATCGACGTCACGACGGACGAGGGGGCGTGCGTCCTGAGAGACACGATGTTCATAATCGGTAACAGCCGCTTGCAGCTGTCGTCGTTCAGCGAGAGACACAAGGACGACACGTCGGAACTCGACGAGACGACGCCGCCGCCGCCCTCGGGCGCGCACAGTAACAACGCGGCGAACGCCGTTGTGGCGGCGATGAAGAAGCACAATTCGGATCATTTGTTGCCGATGTTGATTACGCTCAAGAAGAAATTGGCCGCCTTGAAGTCTCCCTTGGAAGATGACGTGGAAAGTCAGTTATTCAAGACGTACTCGGAATGCGACAAGGATCATTTGTTCAATTTATTCAACGAGTATCCTGAACTGGAGAAAGAAATGGATTCTTATCAACGGTACGTTGCATCGATTTATAAACGGATCTAGATCTCTTCGTTTAACACAGACTTATAAAATCTTTCTGCGCTTTAAAGTATTTCAAAAAGTATTAACGAAACTTTAAATAAAAATGATCTCTTGATAGATTTAAAAACTTGAAAATTGAAATATAAAATCTAAATAACAAGTCAAGTATAAAATTCGATTTTATAAATTCTTCTTTCGTGTGAAATAAAATTATTAATATTCTAAAGTATCCATAAACTTTACAATATAATTCTATATGTATCATCGGTAAATTCTTCCCGCAAAATATAAATACAAACTGTCAATGTAACGTTTCAGGAGGCAGAAAGATAAGAGCATTTCGGAGAACGACGATGGTGTCGTTTCGTCACCAGTCAGAAATCAGGATTCGTTATTGCATCTGTGCAATCGCAAGACTCCCCGGATCCTGCTCCGTCGTCTCTCATCCTCGATGATCTCGCATTACAAGAACGATGGATCCGTTCCGAGCGACAAACCAGATTCCTCCGAATCGATCACAGCGTTTCACGATGCAAGCCCATCGGAGCATCTGGAAAGGATGCTGCAGACGCCGCCTCCGGAGCCGAATTTCAGCGCCAGCGGCAAGATCTCCCAGGTTCCACTCCGCCGTCTCTCGCGCGAGAGTCCGTCGGCGCATCCGGAAAGGGTGCCGCCGATATCGACTCGAGTTTTCAATCCCGACGACGCGTCTGCTCGAAGCGCACGAAGCATGAAGAGGCCGTCGAGTGAGCGCGAAGTTTCGCCGGACATTCCTCGCAAAGTATCGCGGAGCAGCGTGAGTCGATGCTGATCCCGAAATGGAAATTCCGTAAACGAATTCCGAATGTACAAATCTACCTACCTCGTAACATTCGTTGCACGCGAAAAGCCGTCTGCGAGATCGTGCACGTGCGAGTCTCCAGCTCCCTTTGTATGTCTGCGAATACGTAGAAATACGTAGGTTAGTATAAATTCATGGATTTGGGTATCGCCGTTTACCTTTGTTCGTGTGCGACAGAACATTGTTGTGCAATTCCTTTACGATGGAAACGTTTTCGGCTATGAGATTGATCAGAACGCGCACTTCCTCGGCCTGCATCAACAAACGATTTTATTAAGGCTTAATCGTCAGATTTCTCACGACTCGACGTCAATTCGATGTTTCGTACGTACTTCGTCGAGCAGTTCCTTCAGTTTCTTATTATGGGCTATTTGAAGGTGCACTTCCTGCAGGAACCCTTTGCCAAAGGTACTGCTGTTATTTCGTCTCTGCAGAAATTGATAAATCTATGACGATTCCGTGAACACTTTTTTGTCTTTTTTTTTTACGCGTAGCGTATGCATGAGTGACGTTTAATAAGTGGATGCCAAAGATTTGTCACTTTTCTGTCAAGTTCTCTAATTTAAATAAAATTACTAATTTGTGAATTTATAAAGTGAAAAATATCTAGATCTCTTTCTAAATGAAAAAAAAAAATCTTAATTAACAGATATCGCAATCACGCTGTCTTTTGCCTTTGATATTCACGAGTAAATAACGAAGATTTCGCACCAACCTGATTCTTCCCGCTAATTGTCGGAAGGAAAGCAGTAAAATTCTGAATTGACTTGAAGGTGAAACTTTTTCTTTCGTCTGGAGTTTACTTAAACATGATTTACACGCGACCGTTGTTCGGAACAAAGTACACAACTGGCTATCGAAGCTCTTCCTTTCTCTTGTCATATTTCTACGAGCTATAAGACAAAAAAAGGATACTTACGGCATGCAAATCAGGCATACGATCGCGAACCATGATGAACGATGATGAATCTGTTTCTAAAATCGCTACGTAACTGATAAGTTTGTAAGCGAAGTACACATGATATTCACGCGTCGTTATCTCTGTTATCAGTACACTACGGATAAAATTCACACTGCCGTGAATCACACTTTGCAACCCGCAGTCGTTGTACCGACGTCGGCGAAGGAGCGCACTGCCGTGAGCGTTTCTTCGACTAAACCGCGTGGCATGCTTTTATAGGTGGAACTTTGCATTTGAAATGAAATAGGAAGCGGCCACTTATCATCTGCGGCAGCCGCGAGGCTGGCGGTTAACGCAATTACAAACTGCGCGTTTCTTCACCCAATTTATCGTTTCGGTGGACGAAATAATATGCACATCATGTTGATGCGAAAGCTTTGTTGTTTACTCGTGATAGCTTAATTGCAATATTTGTTAATTAACTTTTCGTCTAGAAAGAGATTTAGATATTTTTTATTTTATAAATTCATAATTTTTACATTTTATACACACGCACACACACAAATTAGTAATTTTATTTAAGATAGAGAACTTAACAGAAAAATGACAAATCTTTAGCATCTACTTAAAACTTATTAAGTTTAGATTTAAGGCATGGAGCAACACAACTGCCAGTTATTGTTTTTTTTTTTTAAATATTTTTTTTCTACTATATTTTTATTTTATTTCCAAAAAAGAGAAGAATCATATGTAATTGTTATATTCAGTTAGCGGTTCATCAAGTGATGAATTACTTTTATTGTTTAGACAAAACAAAATTATTTTAATTATAAGACAAAAGGAATTATTTTTGCTTAAGTATTAGTTAAATCAGATTAAGTAATCAAGCAATTTTATTAATTAAAAATACGTGAATATAATTTTATATTTATCATGAATAATTCATATTGCACTGACTTTTCTTACATCATCGTAGAATTAATAAAAATTCCTTTATTTCTTTTTATTTAAATATAAATATAATATAATTTTAATTTAAAACGCAATTTGAATTTTCAATGCTAGTACTATGTGAACTGCTCTGTGATAATGCGCAAAGCAAACCTGGTTAAGTTATTCACATATAGATATATCTGTATAAATAGAAGAAAATAATAAAAATTATAAAGTACAAGCAATGTTAATGCAATAGTAGCTACGCAAACTTGTGTTCGCGTATATTTTTTTATGAAGAAATAATAATATCAAAGATGCTTCGTAACGGAATATATATTTATAACATGTAACTTTATATATTATATCATTAGCATTTCCACATCTTATAAAGTTTTCTTTATTAACTTATCGCACCTTTTTAATAACATTAACAGTAATTATACCTAGTGAACCGTGCGCTGTGTGTTAGGAAGACAAGAGAGGAGTACTTATTACTCTGCACTACTAAAATTATTACAAAATATTTAAGTATTAATATTGAAACGAAGTGTTCAAAGTATTATTGTAATCTAACTTCGATAGAAATTTTTATTTTTCGTTAACTAAATGCGATATTTTATGCATTAAAATTATTGCAATATTTTGCCGAACATTGCCTGGTGCGTCCACATCTTTTCATTTTAATAAAACATTTTGTGAACAAATGACAACTGCGACCTTATTATTTTGCACATTTCTTATCAATAGAATAGATAAATCTATTGCATAATGGAACAATAGAAATATATTCCAAGGCAAATCAGTCAGTCTTATAAACTTGTTAATTTCGACAAATCGTGCTGCTTTTCTTTGTGGACAGACTGCTGATAAATTTTGGTCACAATTTTTCCGTGACTTCTTCTAATATTTCGAATTTCAGAAAATCTATCATATACTCATTTCAACAATGTAGCATATATACTTTATACTACGGAATACGATAGAAAGTAATATAAGGTATCACTTCACAACGTTCATTCGAATTTACAGTAGAAAAAACTGTATTAAAATATCTTTACTGGGATTCATAACACAGATCGGAATGGTATCGCGCTTATGTACACTACATAACAATGGGCCTATTTGTTTTAATCGCACTTCGCGTCGAAATGAAATTTCACTTCTCTCGAAACAAAACGGACGGGTATTTTCAAGACTTCGGAGGGAAAAAAAAAAAAGAGCGATTAAAACAAAGAGATCTAATCACTCTCGTAAAGACGGATTTTTGCTCACAGTCTCTGTTGATATAATCGGCTTACTTACGCTTGTCAGCCCGCGTTATTGCACAAAATTATCAAATTTCCCTTCATTGTCACATCTTTCGCGTGCGTAACGTGGTCATTAATATCACTTGTGTAATACGAGGCAGCGCACGAAAGAGTGGCCTTAGTCCTACTTTCGGCGTCGGTAAGAATTTTACTAATAAGAGAATAACGAGTATGCTCGCGTTCTTAATAATAATAAAATAATAAAATAACTTTTCAAATGTAACATTATAATATAATAACATTCTCTTTTATCGGTAGCAAAACTCTTATCGAGGCCAGGCTACTATTCCACGCGCCACTCTACGTATCTGTGTCTGCATCCTGCGATCCTTGAGCCGGACTCATCTCACATCTCAAGATTCTCCGATACGACAGTGTCAGGATTGGACGAAGGCTCGCTAACAGGATGCGGTCCGCACTCTCACTTTGTCTTTTAGGTAATTGGCGACCTGCGTCTGCGAGTGTCTGACGGCCAGCTGAAGCGGCGTGATGCCTTCCTGATTTACGAGCAAAGGATCAGCTCCCGCTCCCACGAGCTGCCTCGCGACCGTCATGTGTCCCGTCAAGGCTGCGGCGTGCAGTGCACTTTCGCCGTTCTGAAATCATAAGGGACGGTCAGCCGTCTCACGCATAGCAAATAATGCAGCGGTAGACTAAAATATTACTATAACATTGACATAAAAATAAGATAAAACAATTCTAACGCCTAAAATTACACGTGAATTTTCAAGTCACATAAGCAATTGATTTTTTTGCAGCATTGCGTCGTTAATATTTCTGTGCGAGTGGGAGCTCTCTCTCTCTCTCTCTCGCTTACCGGAAGCACGCCGAGTGAAGGACGATACTTGAGTAGCTCGCCGATGACGGCGGTGTGACCCTTGTGGGCGGCTTTGAAGAGCGGGGTCGCGCCATCCTGCAAAAAAGAAATTGTTCACAATGACAATACGCCCGCGCGACAGCGCGGAGGGGCTCGCGATCGGGAAAAAACGCGACGGCGGGGTTCTACGCGCGCGACTTACGCGGCACTTACGTGTCTAGTGGCGTCAACCTTCGCGCCGGCTTTCAACAACCTCCTCACGATGTGATCGTGCCCCATTTGCGACGCGATCCACAGAGGCGTGGCGCCGTCCGTTCTCGCCGCGTCCGTCTTCGCTCCGTGCTCCAGAAGAACCTCGAGAATACGAAGGTGACCGTTTTGCGCGGCGATAAACAACGCCGTGGCGCCGTCCTAACGAGCGGTAAAATCGTTTCTTAACTTTCTCTTGCTTATGCAAATGCCGGGTCGTTATCTCAAATATAATTGATAGCAACATGCTCGACTGAGACGTGTGAAATGACTGGCGGTTGTTAAACTTAATTCATACAAATTTACATCGATTATGTGTATAAAAAGCAATTGCTTTCATCCGCCGAATTAGATTTAATAGAATAATTAAACTCTGAAAAGTTGAAATTACTCGCCCGAAATTGAATTCAGCATCAAACTGGCGTAATTAGTCAAATAAGCTACTAAAAGCGTAATCAGCAAAGTTGAAAGAAATTCTACAAAGTTACATAAAGTTATTAACGATATAAAATTATCAATCGAACAAGTTCTATTTAATATCGTCGATTTAATGACGTGTTTCAATCGATTAAAAGTATCGGTGCAGAGATAAAACGATAAGCTTTCTTACTTTCATGTGAGCGTTCGGACTGGCGCCTCTCTCTATTAAGCCCTCCACGACGTCCAGATGACCGTATTGGCATGCGACGAAGAGCGGCGTGCCGCCATCCTGAAATCCACGCGGAATACGTTAGCGTAAAAGATCAACGAGATCTTGTTACACGCGCGATAAACGGCCGCTCCTCTCACCGCGCGTCGCCGCCTCTCACTTACTATGCTACACGAATCCACGATCGCGCCGTGCTCCAGAAGCAGACTCGCGATGTCCATGTATCCGCCCTGGGCGGCGAAAAACAACGCCGTTGTCCCGGTCTGCGAACACAACGTAAAAACTGTTACCGTGTGCGCTACGAATTTACAACTCGCGGCATGCAACAATAAATTCGACAATCCGTTTATTTTGAGAAAATATAAATATCCTTTTCAGTTATCTTTTCTGAGAAAAATAACACACGAGCTCGCATGGTTCTGCGAAATGTTCTACGAAAACTATGTTTTCTCTAATTAATAATTGTTTATCTTTTTTCGGAGAAGAAATATTCTAGAAAATATGTCTCTCTTCCAACGAGATCGAAATGTTTGAGTTGAGTGGTTTATCTTGTATATATATTAGCAAAGTCCAAGATGGAGGCCGGAAGCTGTCAGCGATAGAATGTAACAGTTTCTGCAGAACACGCGACAAGCAAGTCGAGAAGAAGGAAAGGATTGATCATGTACGATCTTATTTTCGAGAGATAAACTCGCCTCTTGCTTCCCGGTAAATAATTTATACAAGTTATGCAGGAAGTTTTTGCCTTATTCGAGGTACAATTTCGTGCAGCGAAACAAACGAAAAACACCCGCTCTGTGACGCTACACTACATGATCGAAGACGATCGTAATCTACAAATGTAGCAAACAACTTTTGATTTGGGTTTTATCTCATATCGCCGTTTTTTTACTTTCCACGCGATGTATCGCAGCAGCTACTCCGGCTATACGTCGTCTTCTAATCTCTTCTTGTTCTATAAAAACTTCAATTGTACGTTTAAACTGCTCCACGTAATGCAGGTATTGGCTACTATCCATCTTTTTGCCTGCGGTCTTTATTTCTTTTTTCAAAACGACACGTTTTCACAATTTGATTGTACAAACCGTACTAACCACCTAGCGAACACCTGAACAATGCTCCTTTATTCGCCGGCGAAGCTTCGCTCCGTGAAAATAAAGGGCTTGGGCGAAGAGCGTTTAAACGCCGCTTCGTTTTCTAGTGGAACTTCGCCAGCGAAGCTTCGCTGCATGAAATTGTACCTTAAACGACGAACTTCGATAAATTCGATAAAATAGGGATGACAATAAATCATTCTTCCTTCACTGTTTTCGACGAAGAAAAATATCGCAGAAATCTTTCAGATTGTTTCTTCGCAATATTTTCTAAAAGAATTTATTGCTTAAAAAAAATGAAGTTATGTAAGTCGCGGATAGATTTTGATAGCAAACAAAATGGACAGGAATTTACTTTTCAATATATTTTTAAATATCTGAACAACAACATGCTGTTAATTTCGTCGCGAAAAATACAACGCACTAAATCAAATAATTCAACATGAGGCAATTACTAATAGCAACTTTAACCAACTCTGCGATATGCAAATGTCAAATATCTTCGGTGACCCACCCAACCATAATTCGCATTCGCAATAAATCAGTATTTTATGCACGTTGCAATTATACGCCATTAATAATAATGGCGAGTGACACTTTATTGACCGACGTGAAAGAGAAATGTCAATTTTACGGGTGCAAGCTGCTTTTTACGGTTTAAGTACGCTTAACTTTCTTCCCTGCATCCATCTACATAACATGGAAAGAATATGTTATGCTTAACGGTAAACTTTGGCGGCAAAAACCGGTTGCAAAGTAGAGTCTTGATATTTCGAGTAAATGTCAAATCGAATCTCGTTTGATGAAGGATGCGAAGTTGCGAAATTGCGAATGTGCGATTTAGAAATATTCTATCCGTATGTAATCAACATATTTCCACTAAACACATAAGTCGAATAATAAATGCAGCTAAATATTCACCGCATTTTGGTGATTTTAAGAAAATGAGGAAATTGACGGAGCCTGATATTTTTATTCTTTTATAAAACTGTTAAATTTGATGCTTTCGGCGTTTTTATGATAGAAAATTATTATAATTATTTAAAAAATTGCTCAATTATATAACTGAACTCGATAGTTTTAATCGATTTCTACGAAGCGATGTAACGCCGTTATACAATACGTGGCCTTCACCCAATTTGAGATAACGTCTCGCGTTAAAGCGCGATCCAACACCTGGAGCACGTGTCGTGCTCGAATCGCGTAGCGATAAATTGTCGAAACTTTCGTCGATTGAGGCGCAATCGGAGTTTCCGGTCTAACTATTACACGGACTCCTGAATTTGCCGCGGGGCAATTAGAATCCGGCGTTACGCTTTCACGAGGGAAGATAAATCCTTCTGTACTGTCGGCAGTTTTCGATCGCGTATCTTAGACGGGGAAAAGTCGTAAAAAGTAAATTGAAAATTGAGAAGCGAGCACGAAATGTTGCGAAGTACCAAACTTACTGTTTCGAATAAACACAGATCGACACGCTTCTTAGAAGCAATCTGAACGAGAGAAAAATTAAACCACTCTCTTTTTTTTTCCAATCACACACGAAGAGTTCCATTTCACAAAATTCTATAAATTCCATTGTTCAAAGTAGCTCGCGATAGTTTCGCGAGGACATATAAATTATGTTTCCAAATTTTTCGCGCCACGGCACGTAAAGATATATATTTCTTTCAAAAAGATCTTTTCAAGAATGACAAAAGAATCTTATGAATCTTAATGAGGTACGGATTTTATCTCGCAGCAGAGAATATTCAGACGGAAGATGAAATCAGCATGATTTCGCCATTTTTTGAGATTAGAAAAGCACTGTGCACGAATCTTATAATAATCATTGTACTTCTACTGTAATCAAACGACTTTCATAAATAATAAAATTTATATTACATTTACATATTATACACGATTCGTGCTTAATAATTGCAATCGCATTTTATCGCTTACTTAAGTTTGCTATACTAATTGTATAGAAAATGTGAATTCTGATCAAAATTATAGTAAAAGAGTAATCTAATATTTCCGAGGAAGAAAATAGCTGAACTTTCCATTGCAATTTAAATTGATTAATGAACAAACAGATGAAAGGCATTTTTTGAGCTCTTAAGCAATATATATACAAGATTCTTCTGGCTATAATATTATCTTAATCTGTCTCGAAGAAGCAAATAGCAATTTCTCATCAAAGTTCGTCCATGTCTCACATTTCCATTTTAAATTCCCAGTCGTGTAATTTATTTTAGCTCTTCCTATTCGAAGTCTTCTAGGCGTGCGTCTAGAATAATCTGTCAATGGGCTTGGCGCGAGCAAAATGCACTTTCACTGCTATAAAAGCTCTCATAGAAGGAGCGGCAGACTCGTAGTTTCTTCCGTTATGCCTCAAAGAGTGAAGCTAATCATTTCTTTTCCAATTTTTGATGTAGCGCGTGTTGGTTTGTAATTATATCAACGTTGCTTTCGGCGAAAAGAAAAGAAAACAAGAACTTGGAGCTTATGCATATTTTACGCTCATTTTTCAGTGCGCTTTTAATTTTTAGAGTTCTGCTTCTTTGCGCACCCCAAGGCTCGACGAACTTTTCCCTTTTTTTTTTTTGCAACAACGCAGTCTTCCGCGTGGAAATGGGCCGCGCGGTGCATACGCCGTGGAGTAACATGTGCCGCGGAGCGTTGCGAACGAAGCGGGGACATAATATCATACCTATCCATTACCAAACCGCAGAAATATCTATAACGCGACGATCAACCTGCCGGTTTCAGTCCGCGCCGGTAAAAGTCTACACTCGCGGTCGCATATATCACTCGCTTCGGTATTGGTGCAATCACGTGCAAACGTGTGCAAAAATGAAAGAAAACGAAAGGAAACGCACAAATATTTGTCAAAAATTGTTAAATTGCTAAGATAAAATTGCATTTGTACCGAGATAAACGTCGAAATTAAATCAATATAAATATATTTTTTTTAAACTCTGGAATGCAGGAAGTCACAAGTGTGACAAGTCAACACAACAAATATTTAAAAATAATTGTGTAAAAGAACAAATTGTGTTTTATGTAAATTTGTTTACATAAATTCTGGATGTTTAATATGAATAGCATAAACATCTTTGGAAGAGTGATATCAATCGGTAAAAACATGATCCAATATCTTGCTTGCCAGGGAGAGATCGATTCAGATTGAAGATTTGATTTGTAATCCAGAGCTGTCTGCTGAATCAGCCACGGCGTGCATAGCGGTATCGCATTTTACAGCTTACAGATGCAAATTCCGCCGATTAAGCGGATCGGCCGCAAGTGGAGCAACAAAAAGGTCAGTGTTATTTTCGTTTCGCGAGCGCGAGTCGTCAACATTAATTAATTCACCGGAAAGCGACCGAAGGGTAATTAACAGTAAATGGCGCGTGATATTCTCGCCAGATGTGTGAAGCGCAAGCTTGATCGGTAATTAAAATACAAATCGAGGCTCCACGGTCACTCTGATTAGCGTTCATTCACTGACGAGAGTGTTACGGCGCGGCTACCTGAGCTTTACGATTCATCCGTCGGATGACCCGACGAGTGTCATTCACCCTCGTCGGCGTTGTCCATTTTTAAACGATCAATAATCGCGGATAGAATTTTCAGACGATATCATTTATAGAAGTTTCCTATCAATTTTTATCTGCAATTGTGCATTAAACATTTCTAAATAGATGTCAGAATTGATAAAAAAATGATAAATCTGTTAATAAATGAAAACAAAAACTTATATTTAATGAAATGATTAAATATACTTTCAATCGATTCCATTAAATATCAAGAAAATATAATTAATTGCAAAAGCAGAGCAAGCTTTGTAAAATATTTTATATAAGAGAACATTTATAGAAGTACATATAATTAATATAAATAATAAATCAATATGATAAAAGTAAATATATTAAATTTTTCAAAATTTTATATATTATTTTTCAGTGAGCTTTTTGCCAAGAAACCTCGATATTTTAAAGAAAAGTTTATGTGACAGCAGTATTTTTAATATCGATTCTTTATAGATAGAAATAGATTAAAAAAAATCGCAGAAACGCGTCTCATTTTACAATATTGGATATTACAGTATCAAATTGAATGAAATCTAAGACGAAAATAAATGTAAAGCGAAATAAAAAGATATCTATTATTGTTCACACTCTAACGCCTCACAAATGACGCACACGAGCCTTTGTTGCCGTGCTCACGCCCGCGCAATTCCAATATCTATGATAGCGCGGATAACACGTTGAGATAGATTACAGATATACGGTGTTAGCGATAATTCCTGAACTTCCACGTTACCATCATCGCATGCTCGTTGCAGATTTTGCACAGGCACTCTGCTATTAAAAGGCATGTTAAACTCACGCAAACCTGCACGCACGAGCGCGAACTAATGTGCGCGCCTCACTTAAAGCAACCTTGAAATATTCTTGTTTCTCACTTCGCGATATTTATACTACAAATCATGTTGAATGCTCTCTCTCGAGTCATCGTTTAAAGCTTTAAAGTACGAACCTCTGAAATCCGCGCGCTCTGAATTTCCGATAAAAAGGGAAAATGCAAGTTTTTCCGCGTATCTTCGCCGTCGCTTCTACTAATTACAGTTGCCTCCGCGAGATTTATTAGCAAATTACCACGTCGATAAATTAATTTATGAGAATCGGAATGAGATACAATTATGTGTGTAAGTAACGGTTTTGAAATCGCGGGGTACTAATTTATGGAGGATCGCGTTTTCCAGTCTGCCGATGAAAATAATCCTGCATCTCGATCCGCTGTTCGCGCGAGATGACGAGTGCAAGTTTAACGGGTTTTTAACGAACGTTTGCGTGATTCTTAGCCGGGTGCGACATCGTCATCATTTACGCTCGATCTCGGAGGTGGAACGCGGACCGTACGATCAACTAGATCATTGAATATTACACGCTTCTATTTCCGAGCGGCTCCGTCTGTCGCGCGTGAAGCCATGTTCTTCTTCGTTCCAACAATCAACAATAATTGTATCCGCTGCGTAATTGTCGATCATTCAAAACGGGTTTTACAAATGATTATGCTTCTAACCAACCGACGGCAAGAAACGTTTACGCTTCTTCATTTTTATTTTCCGACAGTTTTTATTTTGTATTTTTTATGACAAGCAATAATTAAATCAATGAAAATCCGCTCCTCCGTTTCTGAAATATTTCGCACGTCACACTTTCTGTGGCACAATAGATAAATTATGTGATAATTTAATTTAAAGTTGAAAATTCGCGGCAGATTTTACTTCTTGAACCCTTTTGCTCTTTTACTTTCTAAAATGTGCAGTGTAACGTCGGTTCGTTGAACGATCGTAATCTTGTCATCGATTTGCATACAATGGCGTAATTCTAGATGGCACGAGACACCGAGAGAGAAAGGGAGATGCGTGGGCACGCCGATAAATCCCCGGGGCACTTAAAAAAAGGAACACCAGACAGCTTCCTGGTGCTCCGCGTGACACGCTACACGACAAGCTTTTTATGTCCCCGTCGAGACTCTTCGCGCGCGCTTGAAAAAAGGCGCAACGCGTTGAAAGACGGTGGCTTCAGGAAGTTTCACAAATTCTATTTTGAAGCCACGGAACTCGAGACGAGTGGTGTCCAAAAAAAGATTCTTAACAAGAGAGATCCGTAACAAGGAAGATTGATCGTGAGTTGTTTGAGCCGGAGCGCTTATACCAAATGTATCGTAATACATACGAGTCACTTTGGGAAAAATGAAATCTTTAATAAATTTAGATTTTGCTTTAGTGAAAATGTCACAGCACAGCTTTTTATAAATAATTATAAGCAGTTGAAGAAGGTTTGAGAATTATGAGCAGTTAAAAGTGAGCAACTTTTCGCAAATAAATTTTCGAAATCTTATTCGTTGTTCAATTTCGAATTTTACAGCGACGAATTCTGAATTCGGAGCTTATACGCGCTTGATGTGAAAAATTAGGAAGTCGTGAAAAATATTGTCAGAGAAATGAGATGTAATTAAATTTTCGCTATGAGAAAATCAACAACGAATTGATCGGATTGATTTCATTTCTGATGCGGTCGCCGCATGTTTACTTTGTTATTCCATCCTTTAATCGAGTAAGTATACGAAATAACCGAGATCGGTTCTACAGCGGCGATTAAATTGCAATCGGCAGGCGTACTCAAGGCTATAATATTCGATACCGGTTTCATTGGTCATCGATAATGTGTGAGTAAATAAAATAATATATAATCTTGCAAATGTATAATGAAACGTTTCCTTGATTTTTTTTTCCAGCGTTCCGTCATCAACGATGGTAGAAGTCGTAAAATATGATAACTAAGCGTATCATTGCCGCATCATGCTAGCGTCAGAAAAAGCGTTACAATTACGATGTTTTACAATCACGATTACGCATTACGTCTTATAATTATTAGATGCTGCTTTAAGATTAGAAGAAGTACTCTGAATCGTATGCGATCGTGTGGATGTGCACATAATGACGGAGCGCTCAAAGTATCGCTTATCTCATCAATAACTATCCTACACGATCATAATAAGAGATAATCTGTTTGACATAGATAAATCGTTTGATAATATTCTCGCGGTTTGCTTTCAGTTATAATCGACGGCTTCGATTCGATAAGTTGAAAGGTTATTAAATATGAAAATTTTTGCGAATAGATTTTTCATCCAATTTTTCGTCGAAGAATAAAATTTTGACTCGCAATTCAACAATAGAATAAAAAGGAGTAAGAGCGTGCTAGTTTTTGTGCGTCATTTGCTGAAGGATCTATAAATGCATGCAGCAATGTTCGCAACACGCACTCTAAATCCAGGTTTCATTTATCTTACAGGATAATTATTCAAGCTGTCAGGACTTACCAGCCGTTTGGCATTAGGATCCGCTCCTTGGTGCAACAGTTCAGTCACGGAATCGATGTGGCCACCGGCGGCGGCTAATATCAAAGGTGTTGTGCCATCCTGCGAAAAGAATCAGTGGCCTCGTTACAAAATATCGCTGGATTCGAAATGATTCAATTAGCCACAAAACTTTCCTCCCGGTGAGCGCTACCGGCAAATGTGTGTCATATTTTCTAATCGATCTTCGCAGGCTATTAAGGTACGCTAAGTGTTTTAAGTTTACTAATGTAACTAGCACACGTGGCACATAATACGTTGCATCGATAAACTAGCAATGTGTGTCTAAAAAATAAGTATCTTCTAACGATTACATTATTGTAAAAAAAAAATCGATATCACTTTGTAAATAATAAATTTTTTTTGTAAATTATGAAAAAATAAATTTTATCAATTTTCGACTTAAATTTATATCTTACATATAGATTTGCAATAAAATCCTTTAATTTCTAATAATATTTGATCATTATTTAACTTAAATTTAATTATCTGCACAATTTTTAATTCTTACAAACTTCCGCGGAATAATATTCGGCTTCGAATGGACAGAAAAGGATCGGGAGCGAAAAAACGTTATTAAACATGCCGACTGAACAGAATCGTGACTCCATTCGACCCTGACACTGACACGATTCCATATGGATGAGCTCGCGAAAATACGACACGCCGGTAAAAACGCTTCCAGGCCGAATAATGGCGAAGATTGGTGTCCGCGCGTGATCTAATGAACCACTTTCGAAACGCGAGAGAAGAGTAAGCGTGGCTTACGCTCGCGTTATTCGCCGTTTGCATAATGAACCGACCGCGAGGAGAGAAAATCACGCCGGTAAATCACGCCTTTGCCGTGAAATCGCCGATCTAACGCGAGATTGTGCGCTATTCCGGTCGGAAACGCGAGTTTCCGTCTAATTCATTTCCGAACAGCAACGCCGCGTGTATTTTTACGCAATCATTACGTCGATTTTGAGCTAATTAAATTGATTCGCTCCATTCAGGTGCTCACACGTTTCAGCAGAGAATTGCACTAATTACCGCAGAAGAAAGGTATTTCTTATCCCGAGGAGGAAATCGCGCTGTTTCGTGATATCACGAGCGTTCACGCTAGGGCAATAGAATTTTAATCAAGATATTGCGCGATGGACTGACCTTGTCCTTGCAGTCGACATGGACGCGTCCGGAGTCGAGCAAAAGACGAAGACGCTTGGCGTCCCCGCGTGCCGCCGCCAGATGCAGCTCCACGTCCCACGGCGACTCCTTCTGGAAAAATCGAGGATAACAAGTTAACGAACATGCTAATGAAATTCTCATTTCTTTGTGTAAGACAGTTACGGTTGGAATTGCGGGCGACGCAGGAAGTCTGAGTTTCTCATTTATACGCGCTCAGAATATATTAAGATCGCGACAAGTACGAAACTTCAAGGGCCTAATGCGATGATGATGTAACGCTTCTCTTTTAAACCTGAAAATTCAATTTTGAACAATTCTCATTTCCTTCTGTTCTTAAAAGATTTTGTTGATTCATTGCAATTTTTAGTTCAATTACAAGTGATATAAATGTAGGAAGAGTCTAAGATCTTCATTTACGTTTCCAGAATATATTAAGAGTTATGACGAATATAACTGAAAGATTTAATGCGAAACTACTTCTTTAAAATTAATTAATTGAAACTTAAAAAACTTAAAGAGATTTAATCTCAAAATTCAGCAAATTCAATTCAATTTTTGAACAATTTTTATGTCTTTAGATTTCTAAAGAATTTAATGTCATGACTTTAATTATAATATTTAATTAATTTAAAGCAGTGTCGCATTGGCTCTTCAATTATTGTTTATACTTTCACTTATTAGCTTCAAAGGATATTGTCATATATTTTTGTTTCGCGTTATTTCCACATTGAACCAACGAAACATTCGCGCACCAGCATCAACTTGGAAATATAAGTCGTCAGACATCTTATGACGAAATACAAACCTAGCCGTAAAAGTAAAAGTACCTCGACAAACTGTGGGGGACCGTCTAAAGTTCACCAAATATTTTTAGCACTTTTCTAATCTCAGAAGTATGCTCGCGACCTCTGTCGATGAGATTGACATTTCTCGGCACAACAGGCCCGGTCTTTATTTTCCGCATTTACGATCTAACGGTGAACAACACAAATATTTTTCAGCGCAAACATCGCCGCGATCCTACGACGATGGTTGCAACAGCGTCGATGCTTACGCGATAACCCGATCGTGAAAAATACCGACGCTTGAGAAGAAAAAAAAACTAATTCGTATCGAATGCTCGGAATATCGAGCATGTTACTTGTTTCTCGAGTAATATGAATATTCTCGGCGACTCGCACCCGCGCGGATTTACGTTCTTTAACGGAACTCTCTCCACTCCGAAATATTTCGAAGGTTTCTACGGGAGGGAAATGGGCTTGCGGGGCCCGATATCTGTAACTCCTTTACCCGTTAGCCTGTAGTTTGCTGATTCCGAGCGCGCGTCACAGATTGCAAACGTAAAATTGCGTTACCGTTCAACTGTACGCTCAATGGCGCGGAAAAATCGTGCTGCAAAACTTTACGCCGATAGCGTGTAACAAGAATCGTTTCCCCCGAAGTAGAACAAGTGTAGAAAAACGAATAATTTGATATGACAAAAATTGACACGCAGAGATGCTTTAGAATCGTTGAACCATTTTCATGATGTCGCGCGGTGATTAATCTTTTATAATTGATTGCGTCTTCGTATTTCTTAAATAATTGAATTTGTATACGTATCTATATGTATTAGATTGAATCTTAATAATAGCAAATTTTTTATCACAGAACCGAGAGATAATTATTTAAAATTCAACTCATGTTTATTGGAAATATTTTGAAGATACGAAAAAAAAAATTACAAAGAGAGAATGCAATACTGCAGAAGGTATTGCTGTTTTCAGTTTTGGCGATTGCCGATTATAGATTTATCAACAAGTTCGAGAAGTTTGATATAAACCTTGCGCAATAGCATGCAGATAGGGAATGCGAATTTAACGAACTAGCTATTAAGCGCTCGCGGACATTGTTGCGACCGATATTAGAGCGAACCCCACGTTCAATATTATGCAATGCGTGTCACGAATAATATAGCGTCAATATCGATGTTTGTCCAGTGATCTAGTACATTTGATTAATTATGTATTGTTTACAGATTGAATTATATACGACTGTTCATTCCAAAATACTGTGTATCGCTTTCTGATATTTGTGAAAATAATATGACGCACTCTCCTGATTTAGCCGAGTATATTCAAGCATTGTACTTTATTATAATATGTTTGTCCAAATCAAATCAAGAGATACGATAATTTAAACACTATCGAATTTATCATATAGAAATCTGCGCACAAAATTACGCAGTACAATCTATTTGTTAATTATTATTAAAAAATTCGATACTTTGAGGTTATTCCTTAACAAAAATATTCAACAAGGAAGTGATTAAACGGCGCCTCGTGGCGAGACAGGCTTTGCCTTTCGATTTTAATCGAACACAGGTGCGCTCATTCATTGTCGAGAACCAGGAATAATGTGCCAATAAAATATAAGACGCATATTCTCGTATATTTAACACAGGATGTTGTCATTCAAATTTTATTTTCTTAATACGCAAATTGTGTTTAATGCCAACACGAGAGATAATAATCAAAATATGTAAACATACTGATCAACAACTAATCGAGAGAAGAGTGACGTTTTCTTACTCGAAAAAAAACAAGTGATTAATTGAAGAGAAGATAAAAGCACAAGCATAAGCGATAAAATAATTATAATCAGTGATTGTAAATAAATGAGTTTTAGAACATTAGATGTAATAATATTTAATCCTTTTTGCTACTTGTAAGACGCTAAAAAATTCATTAAATGCAGAAATATAATTAAAAAACTAAACAAATCTTAACCTAAAAATTGTTTTATTGCAAAATTCACTCAAGTCAATGTTTCAAATAAGAATACCAGTATAATACAAAAATTCTAGCTCCAAAAATGTAATTTAATCCAAAGTAATATTTAAAAAAATAAAAATGTATAAATTTTTCCTTTTTAGTTATTTTACATCTTTGTACTTTTATTTTGCGTCCTGTATCTTTCTTGTAAAGTGAAAAATCGGTATGGAAAGAACTTGAAGAAGAATATCACCGCAGAATCACGATGACACAAATCACAAGCGTGAGCTTCACGGCTTAACGAGCATCGCCGGCACTCACCTTCATGGACATGATGAACCCGCGGCAACTACCGGTGCGTGCCGATCAATCATTCGTTACTCTTTCGCCGGAGCAGCGGTGAAACAATGTAAGCGCATCGCTCGTCTCTTGTCGCGTCGAGCAAGCATCCGCTCTCGTGTTCGCGTACAGTCAACTACAACTGTCAACCATCTATCCGGCGCGAAGCGCGCCCCGCTACTGAACACAATTTTCCTTCACGGTCCGTTTTGTAGCACCTCACGGCGAAGTGCCCCGCTTACACACAACGGCCGAACATCGTCATCCCGGCTGACGTCGAGTCGAACAGTTGCCCGATTGAACTCCGCGTTCGTCATATGGAAGCAATAGCTGCCGCGAACGTACACGTGGCGGCAGCACCTTGCGCGTTCGGAAATAATAAAAGAATAAAAATACTTTTAGCGCTTAGCAATTAGAAGTTAAAACAGAATACAGAAATCTTTTTTAAATTGCAATTAATCAATTATTATCTTGATATAATTTTTATATAGAAAAAATTCTGTCTTTAATAATAAGAAAAGTAAGGGATAAATTAATAGATATTTTTTTTATGAAAATAATTTAATTAAATTTGATATGATATAAAATTATATTTTTTAATTTATATTAAACGTGCTTGTCGTAATGCTATAATATTTCTTACTTTTAAATATTTATTGCAGCGAAATATTCTCAGCGAAATATTCAAATGGTTAGGGATTTATTAAGTTGTAAAGTGGTAACATTGAATGATATTTCCGCACTTCGGAGTGTATCCGGTAGAATTTTCTCTTTCTGTAGCCATATCGTGACAGATAGGTTATACCGAGTGCAACTGTAAAGTATTTATCAAATAATTAACACAGCCGTATTTTTCCGGCTCTGAAAATAAACTAATCATCTGTTTTATGATATTATTATAGCTATAAAAAATGGAAAACGATCAAGGAATTCTGGTGGACTTGTACATCCCACGAAAATGGTAAGACGCACACGTGGATTATGAATAATTTTTATAAACTTTACAATGGCTAAATTAAATATTGTCTTAAGTTTGATACGCAATTTTTTAGTCGACAACACTTTAAATTGGTTTTAGTGTGTATGTATTGAATCAATGATAATGTAATCTATAAAGTGATTTTAGGTTAGATAACTCGATATCGAATTTTCCGGTAAAGAAAATGCGCTTGGGCAAAAATCGTTCTTTTTATAAATGCACTATCTTGCATCTTTTACATTAAAATTGAAATATGCGTATTCGCAGCAAAATAAACAAAAAAGTAAGAAACTATATGCAATAGAACTAAAATAATAAACCACTGTTTTTTTTTTGTTACAGCTCTGCGAGCAACCGTATCATCCACGCCAAGGATCACGCATCCATACAGCTAACTCTGGCTGATGTCGATCCAGAAACTGGACGCATGACAGACACTCATAAGATGTATGCAATCTGTGGAGCAATTCGTCGCATGGTATATATACAAGTTATTTCTACATACGTTTATAGTAATTATAGAAATTTAATTCAATTATAAATATTTCCTCACTGTAAAGTTTTTACATTATTAACCAATTGACAATATTTGTATGATTAATTATATATAATATTAATATTACATTATTTAGTTTTTTAGATTCTTTATATGGAAACTTTATGTTAAACTTATGTTTACAGGGTGAGTCAGATGATTGTTTAGTGCGATTGACAAAGAAGGATGGACTTTTACCGAAGAACTTTTAATTCATATTATGACCATTTACTATATTTACAATAAATAAAAAAAAATTTTAAAACTGTACAATTGTGTTTTTTTTAACTTTTGCAACAACTTTATTATTAGATATATGGATGGTATTACAAGTATTTATTTTGTATTAAACAAAATTAGCATAAAACGCAAAAATCATATTTCAGAAGTGAATATTTGCGAAGAAACGATATTAGAAATATGTTTCATCAATAGAAGACGATCTGAAGATACGAATTAAAATTTGTAAAGCCTTTTTTGCACATTTATGTATTGATTTTTATCAACGGCAATCTCACAATTTTTATATATATTTTGAAACTTGTTACGAATAATGTCTATCACAGTGTTAACTTTTGAACTTGATTCGTTTATGATGTCTAAAGTAAGACGAATCACTATTTGCAAGTATATATTGTATGACATTTATTTTATATGCATTTTATACATACATTTATAAGTATGAAATATCTTTATATACACATATAATACATTGATATAATAAGACTGCTGGATGTCAAGATAGTATGCCACAGTAGCACTCGCGAGTCACGCTCAGTTATGCTCATGAGAGAATACTAATTATATAAAAATAAAAATTATCACTAAAGTGTTATGTATAATCATGTGTCATGTACAATCGGAATTGGCTGATCTCCATGAATTATAATGAATTTTTCTGTTATATTAAAATCCGTTTCTATCTAGAATAGGACAAAGTTATGCAGCGATTCCTTTTTACTGCAGACTAGGAATATTAGAAAATCTTTTTACGAAATAAATGATTCGGTATTTTTAGGCATAGTCGCGCGTGTACGATGCAATCTGCTATGATTATTATCATCTAAAACTGTTTACATGAATTTGTTTTGCATTTATTATCTTGGATAACGACACAATTTTGAAACTCGATGGACCAAAAAAGTTTTGACACATCACAAAAGTCTTCTAGTTAATCAGTTTTCTTTTTCTCATAATAAGTTATAAACCTTTTTAATTTATAAGTTGAAAACAACTGCGTGGACAATCACGAATCCGAATATTTCAGAATTTGTCATGAACGAATCAAATTGATCAAAAACTTTTATTATTGAAAGGCAACGAATCAGTTGTCAAATAATACTGTGTATCAAAATTGCGTTATATTTCCTCGTTTGAATATGCGAGATTAATTTATGCGTACAATGTTCATAAATAATTGTTTAGACATGTGTAAATTTGAATTAATATTGTGACCAAATTATAAAAAAAATGAATAACTTATAACAAACGTTCTGTTCTATTATTTTTGTTCTTCTGAAATAATGTATATATATATATATTTTTGTTGAAATATTTTACGTACATTTGTTATTAATATCTTTTTTCTTTTCACTAAAATTTATCATAGATGTACAATGATGCCATCTCAGGAAAAATTCTGTGTTTCTTTAGAAATTTTGCAATGATCATAATGCTCTGGTATAAATTTCTGTTATAAATATGAAGCGTTCAAAATAATTTTTTTTCTCTCCTAATCAAGATTTCCACTTGTCTCTTATAATTAAGTAAATAATACTCGACAAATATGTCATTATTTAATAATGTTTGTACATGATAGTGTTTAATGTCGTAAAGCAAAACTAGAAATTAGAATAACGTACCTATAAGTAAAATATAACGAACTTATTAACGTATATGCAATATTTGTTTAACAAGTTGTTATCCTCAATCGTCTGATACATTTCTAGAAAAAAATAGTACGTCTGGGAAATGTCATCACATTTGTCTTTTCCTTTTTTAGAGAATTTTATGCGTCGCATTAATATTAGTTAGACTGGAAAACCCTCATTACTTATACATAGATAATCTTAAAGTAATAGAATTGGTTTTAAATCTTTACCCTGAGTATTTGCTATTGACGCAACAGCACATTTGCCAGACATACGATTTTAATAAGGTAGGCCATACATTATATATATGGAACATATGCCCTGTCGTGGAGTACTTTTGAAAAATTAATAATACAGTTATTAATACGGTAGCAATTAAACCATATCTTAAAAAAAAAAAAAGCTTATAAAGAAAGCGATCAAAGCATTTTTCGCTGTATAATACATTGGAATACGATTATATTTCGATACCTTAAACCAAAACCTCGTAAAAAATCCAAATTTTACCGAAAACATTAAAAATTACTTATTTATAATAAATTTCAATTAATTTATCACAGATTTTGAATTAAAATAATTTAAAGTTGTTAATAAATAAATTTTTGGGATTATTTCAAAAAAATTTGATACATAAAAAAATAAAAATACTAAATCATAATAACAGAAAAAGTGAAATTGGTCAAAAATTCGAGATACAAGGTTTTGGAGTTAAGGTATCGATTTGTTTGTTGTGTAAAAAAAGATGTTAGAAACTGTTAAAAGCAAACGTAATGCAGTACGTAATTGCACTCGACAAAAAGTATTTATCAAAAATATTTAACAGTTGAAAGAAGTAATTGCACAAATCCTGACGCGGTTTTAAGGGGGTACCAATGAATATATATGAACTTATATCGTCTATATGCTACTACATTGTACAAATGCCACGCGAATAAATTTTCTTTTCGAATTAAAATTCCTTTTCCGATGGCAATTGAATTTCTTTTATGTGTTTTCTCTTTCGTCAATTTACCTAAGCGAAATATGCTTGAGAAGTAGATGTCATACCACTCTCTTACACATTCATTACCGTGTGTCATCCGTTCAGAGTTGGAGTGTCCGACAAGGAGTGGACTCGATTGAACCTACGATTCTTTAATGTCGTCATAGCTTCCATAAGATCGGTCCGTTTACCGAAGAAGTCCACTATCGCCTGCCCGGTCAAAGCGGACGCCAAAAATTGCTCGACGGTTATCGCCCAATCGGGATCGGCGGATGACGATATACTTGACGGATTTCCATTACGATCGGGTGACTGAAAAGGAAAGCCTCGGTAATAAACAAATTTATTGTTGCGATAAAAAGCACCGTCAGCATTTAAAAATACGCACTCTTTCGATGACTGAGGAAGTTTGTTGAGCGGCAGAAGCGGCTAGAAGTAAGCTATCTTCAGATTCTTCTCTCTCTACGTAAAACTTCTTGCCGACATCTCCTAATTGGAGTAGAAGTGTACCTACAATTTTTTATTATTTTAGGTTTCAGTTTATTTTATTATTTAATTATCCCATTTAAAATGCTGTTATAGAATAGTAAAAAATACAAAACAAAATACGTGCGATAATAAAAATATCTTACCTATGGAAGCAATACAATGATACGTTTCCTGTTCTTCGGGTTGCGCGGGAAACATATCGTAAAGGGTTTTCCATAACGCTATGAAGTGTCCTTGAGACATTTTTGGCACGGTTTTAAGATCCAATGGACTGTCTTTCGACGCTATCATCGAGCGCAGACTGCCCATACTCTGAACTTCCCACGATTGATCCCCTTGCTGGCTATTTAAGCTCGTGGACCGGGATAATGTACCCACCGTCGGCTCTTCCGCCAGACTGATCGGCATCTCCAAGGAAGCTACGCTCTGCTCCATGCTGTCGAAGAAATCCGTAGCTTCCGCCGCCACTTCAGCACCGTCTAATCGATTTCATAAATTTACATACGCAGATAAACATACAAATAAAAAAATGGGCCCCCAAATTAGCAAGCTAATCGACAATCTGAATATTCACCCGCTGAATGTGTCGGAGATTCAAAGTCGGCGGGTGTGAGAAGTGGCGGCAAATGCAGCGTGTACAAGAGTTTTAGTCTCTGCGTCAAGTCGGCCGTCGCTGTCATTCCTATAGCCTGCACTAGTTCCCGGAAATTTAACAAACCATCACGATTGCGGTCCATCAACTGAAAGAATATTCCTTAAATATCAGTTATTCAAACAGATAAATGTAAGTGACCGAATATCAGTTATTTAGAATTCAACGCGATTTTAAAGAGCGCAAAAAATACCGTCGCTTGTTCAAATCAAGATTGCTGTGCCGCAATGAATGAATGAACTTACGCGAAATAGTCGCGCGGAAAGAGATTCAGCTTGAGTGCATTTTCCCCATGGGGAGAGGCCGCCGAATAATATTCTGAACAAGTCAAAGTCCACTTTATACGCTTCGTACGGCGGTTGAGTGGGATCGTAGCGGTCGGGTTCGGATTTACGTTGACTCATTAACTCCTCTCTCACTAAGCTCAACAATTCCTGTGCACACGTGTAGAATAATGAAGATATATATCACGCTTTGTGTGATCTGTTTGTAAAAAGAAATTTGCATTACCTGCAATTCTTCCATTTTCATGTATTTATCGATAATGACGCTTCTGATTACGTTCTTTTCGATTCCATCCTCGAGACTTTGAACCACCCTAAGTCTATGCTTCAAGCGCAATCTTTCTATTCCACCGATTGTCAGTGAACCGTATCTCGAATAAGCTTCATAGATTAACGTTTGAACAGATATACTCTATAATAAAAAATATCTTTTAAATTGATATATCATATTAAAGGCGTGAAATAATGTAAATATATGTATAAACTTGCTCTATTAGGTGCTGTACTGTCAACTGGCCGAGGAAATATCGGGCCTTCATCGTTGTAAACGCCACCGAGGTAATCTGTTAACAATTGCATAGCCTCCCCGTCATCGCGGCAATTGAGTAACTTGTCTTGATTCCACTCCAACACTGTCAACGCTATCTGATACAGGAAAAAAGATCTAATTACTTTAAATGTCATTGTGTTCATTATAAAATGTAACAAAAAAATAAATAATATCATGAAGTTAAATAAAAATTTCTGTTATAAATTTATCTACAATAAAAGTCTCTTGTGAAATAATTTGTTGAAGTTTAATCAAATTTATTTTTATCAAAATCTTCGTAAAAATATTTAAAAGTTAAAGACGTGTACTCGTTAATATTCAGTATTTTACCTGAAAAATAACTTTTGCTCCGTCATAAAAGAAACAGTCCATGATATTCACAGCACTGCTGGTTGGCATGACGCTTAAAAATATCGTTAAAAACCAAGATAATGATATCACTTTAATCAAGCCGAGTTCCTGTAACTTGGCATGTAAAACTGGTAAATGCTCGGCGGCCAGTTCCTCTAAAAGACCTTGATCAACGAGAGCGCCAACCACTCTCCGGTCATAATAATCAGGTAATAATGACTCACAAACGTTGCATAACTGCCAGAATGCGGACTCCTCCGAACAATAGATTAACAGAACTGAAGCTACTATGTTCATTGCCTGACAATAACCTGACAATAACAACAAAAAAACGAATTCACATTAACAACGTCGCCAAATAGTAATATTATTAAACTAATTATTTTTTAAATAATATGTTGAGAAACGTCCAGATTTGTTAACATAAAAAACTTACTCATATCTGAAGAACATCGGCTTTTGATAAATTAATGTTTAGTAATTTAAATAATTTACG